ATGGTAAAGTACCCCCTCTCATCCCTCCACCATGTGGGATTCTCTTCTCGGGCCTCTTTCATAACTTGAGCTGTTTCCGCCTTGAGCCATTCCTTTCACTTGGTTTTTGGTTTTCTCTTCCTTTCCAACTTGGTTGAGCATGACAAATTACTTAGACTTTTGTTGATTTCCTTGTATATTGTTGACTTCCCTGGACTTTTGTTGATCTCAATGGACTTCTGTTGAATCTTGAAAATCTCCTACTTGCTTATGAACTTCCCTATGCATTAAAGGTGCTTTATGGCATGCATACAGCACAGAGCAATAGCTTTAACAGCCCGGCTGATGTACAACCAGGGATTACTGCATCTGTATTTTGCTATTGGACCTTCCCTATGGGGTCTACGAGCTCTTTTTTTTCAAGTTTCCTCTGGGTTTTTTTTAGAAAAGGAGGATTACCCCCGGCCTCTGCATCTGAGCGATGCATGCAGTCATTTTATTAATTATTCACAAAGACCTTACAAAGTAGTACATCAGATAGTCTGAAGCCACCATCCTAGCAACATATGTCACTATTCCTATCCACTTGATGAAGGTGTGCCGATAGTCCGAGCCTAATACCAAACAGACATCGCACATATGCCTAACATCTAATGCCGGAGGCCCCAACCAAGCCACATACTGGGTTTAAGGTATACACCGGTCTGACGCACTCTCATGTGCTGTCGCCGCCATCTTCCACCAATCCATCTTCAGAGCAAAAACTAACGCACCGACCTTGCTAGGCCTCTCTGCCATCGACGCCACCATGACGCCAGACAGCGTCCTCCTCCTGCGCGAGTCCATCTCCTTGCATCGGACACCGAATCCCCATTGCACCACGCCGCCGAGATCCGCCATCTTTGATGTGGTAAATGAAAAACCGCTCCACCACTTGTCTCCTCCATCCAGCCGCTGCTCCAAAAACAATGCCCCCATGAGGGAGAACGACGCCTAAAGTGTCGCCATCGTTCGATCCGGGAACCCCGGGTCTAGGTTTTCACCCGGAGCAGCGCAAGCGAGTCGACGGTAGCTACAGTGGCGATGTCTTCATCAAGATAACGACGCGAAAATGCCGCCATCGCCCGCCCTGACCGAAGTCATAGCACGGTTTTCACCGGCAGCATCGTCTCCCACTTGGCGCTGGGATTGGATGTGTGATGCCACAACCAGCTAGCCGACCACCTCCGGCGAAGGAAGTAGCCACCACCGCCACGCCGAGGGCCGGAGTCCTCGACGTACTCGTGTTGCGGGTCGAGCCCAGGAGCAGTTTGCCATTGACGGAGCATGGAAGACAAGCCAGCAGCATGCACGGCCCGCCGAAGCCCATCTGAGCCCAGATCGGATGCCGCCGCCGCTGGACATCCCGCCGTACGCCGCCGCCTGCTTGCTGGGTCTGGTCGCCCCGCCCCGCACCACGCCGCCGCGCAGCCGCCGCAGAGCCCCGTCCAATCCCGCCACCAGCGCGACCGTACGCAGCCCCACCACCACGCCCTGCGCCAGAACGAGGCGTCCCCGCCAAGGTGCCGCGCCCGCGCCGCAGCAGATCAGGCGAGGAGGAAGGAGATCCTCGCCGCCACCGACGCCGGCCGGGCTTCGCCCGGCGGCGCGCCCTGGCGGCGGCGAGGGGAAGGTGGGGAAGTGAGGGGGCTGGGCTGGCGGCGCGTTAGGTTTCGCCCTGTCTCTCAAGTTTCCTCTGGTAGGAGAATTAGAAACTCTACAGCTTTGGAAATGATATGGATAGATATATTTTAAGAATTTACGCATATGCAGACACAGTGCATGTGTTGCCAACCCCAAAAGATACAACCAAACTTCACATCTTATTTCGTCGGTGAAGGCAACATCTGATCAAACAAATAAATCAATTTTTACTTGGCTAACGCTGGCAATCGAAGCCAAACAGCTCAAGATGGCAACGCTTTGGATGTTGCTTAATTAAAATCGAGGCCATGAATACAGAAGATAATTTGGTTCATATTTGGTGACATTAAAAGTTCAAATATTCACCCGTGTCCTATGAACATCACAGGAGCACTAGGAACAAAACCAAAGCGTGATGCACCTGGCTTGTAGATGTAGAGCTGGTTAGATTTGGACTTGTGGTGGCCTCCTTGTGCGCTGCAGGATCTGAATTCTGAAAACATCAAATAAAAAGCAGTGTCATGGCTTGATGAGCTGTGTATGCTAAGCTTGTTATTAAAGTCATCAAGAACCAGACAGAGAACCTGCAAGTCAAGCACATGCTCGGCTCGTTGAGGGGGAATTCTAACTTGTTATTAAAGCCATCAAGAACCAGACAAAGAACCTGCAAGTCAAGTACATATGCTAATCTTTCCCCGCAAAAGAAAAAGGTAATCCGTATATGCTAATCTTTTTGTGCACATCCAACCACTTCTAGCACTGATGGGTGCTTTATGCAACTGTGATGACAGGTCCCCCTATGCTTTCATATTCCATATT